ACAGAAGTCAAGAGACAACAAGGCAATAAGAACTAACATTGCGGAATGTGTTGATTACGGTCAACACTAGCGTAGTTGATTCCGTCAGCATTCCTCCAGTCCCAGGCTAAAGGTAGTTCATCATAATTATATCCGTCTTGTTCATATATCCGGGGATTCCCTCTAGAAAAAAGATAAAGAAGTAGATAAAAAATTAAAAAATGAAAATGGTTGCACTGTAAATGAATAATGTGACTGCAGAATAAATCCAATGGACAAAAAAATTTATTTGACAAAAAATTTGCAAGTAATGTTTTTGACTGAAAGAGGCTTTTTATAAATTTTTATCAATTACTTTTAGAGTGAAGTGACAGTATGGGCAGTAGCAAGAAGAAAAACAAAGAAAACAAACTTGTGTTCATAGACCATTCCAGATTTTTTGTAACATCCATGAACGTTGTATCGGTTACGCAAATGAAATTTCTTTTTACGGTAAATTTTAGATTGAGTCAATATAACGAAGACAAACAATAAGATGAGAAGAAATAATGGACGATGCATTGCAGAAATGTCTGTTCACCAAACAAAAAATGATCTAAAATGAAAACTCTTTAGCGATATTTGTGATAGATAAAGTGAAAAACAGAAAAAAAAGAAAGGGGAAAGACACTTATCTAAACTCCTCCTTTCATCAACTTTCTCACTCTGTCTATTTCAGTGAACGCCAAATAGCCCTCAAAATTTGTTAATAATAAACACAGCTGTTGAGGTGTTCCTTCGTGGTTGCTGTTTGTTCATCATTGGTATAACAATCAAATCACCATATTTAATTGCCTCCGAAAATAATTATGCGGTATAATCTTTTGGGGAACAAAAAAAAAGCTATCAGATATGTCGAAATTGTTAAAAAAAAAAACACCAGACCAACTCATCGGATACATGATCTTTTCAAACGCGATACAACAACGACAGCAACAGTATCTCCAATGTTTAAAAGTACATGCTGTTTAATACATTAGTACAGCTGGCCGGTGATAAATTGATAATGAATGTTCATGTAATTTAAATTGTTTATCATTTGTTAAAATTTTTTTATCTTGTCACAAAATTGGATACAAAAGATACTTGAAAAAAATTCTATTTCTCTTCTTTTAGTTTCATTTTATTTCATTTCTTTTTCTTCTCTTCTCATCCCATCTCTT